CTCCCTGCACGCACGGGCCCCGCCATGGATGCGGAGGCGGCGGCGCTGCTGGACCTGAGCTTCCTGACGCTGGCGGAGCGCCGCGCCATCGCCGAGGTGCTGCGCCGCGACGCGCAGCTGCGCCGGCGCGACGAGGGCCGCGTCAGGTGAGGGGCTGCCCGCCGGGCCGCGCCGGGGACGGCCGCCGCGGGGACGGGCGCCCAGCGCGGTCCTGCGTCCCCAGGCGGCTCCGCAAGTCGGTCTCGGACCCGGCGCGGCTCAAGAGCCTCACGGGCGACTGGTTCTGCGACGTGCGCGCCCGGCGCCACCAGCAGCCGCTGGGCTCCGAGCTGGTGCGCGCCTCCATCCGCCGCCGCCGCCCGCGGGGTACGCAGGGGACGGGGACAGCGCGGGGACGGCCCCGAGCGCAGCCCCGTGAGGTCCTGCTGTGCCCCGGAGCAGGGGGGACGGAGCTGGAGGCCATCGGAGAGCCCTGGGCCGAGGACAGGGAGGACGAGGACAGTGCGGCGGAGACTGAGGACAGGTGGGGCGCCCGGCGGGGTCCTGGTGTGACAGGGACTGGTGGCATCTCCCATTAATGGTGGTTGTCTAATTGCTTCTTCTCCCTGCAGCCTCTCCAGGGAGGAGGTGCTGGGGGCAGCAGAGGTCCAGGTGGGTGCCCAGCACGGGGTGGCGCTTGGGGCCCGGACCTGATGCTGGGGAGATGGGCTCGCTCGGCGGGGGAGCCGCCCGACACGTCCTGCTGTCCCCTACCCCGCCATGGCTGGTGACCCGGAGGGGACAGCCGGAGGTGGCTGCGGAGCGGGGAGCGCACAGGGTCCCCTTTCAGCCTCCCCTCCCGCGTGTCTCCCTGACCAGCCCTGCGACGTCTCCCCGCCGGCCGCTGCTCTGGAGGTGACGCCGCTGTCACAGTCCCTGCGGGAGCCTGACATCCCGCCGGGGCAGCAGGACATCCCGCTGCAGCCGGGTAACAGTGGTCAGGGAGGCGGGCAGTGCCATGGGGCAGAGGGGATCTGCGATATTCTGCCCCAAACACCCCTGGCCTCGCTGCCCTGCAGGCAACCGACGGGACGGCAGCCCCCTCGGCCCCTCCAGCGCGGAGGAAGAGGAGGAAGAGCCTTCACATGCGCTCAGCACCCCCAGTGCCGGGCAGGTGGGGTGGCCAGTGGGGACGCGGTGTGAGCCGGGAGGGATCTGCCCCCTAGGCCGGGCTCAAGGCTTTGCGGTTGCAGGCGCCGGGGACACCGCGGGCCAGGCAGACGTCCCCAAGCCGGGTGTCCCCCCAGGACGTCCCCGGCAGCCAGCTGAGCGCCAGCTCCTCGGTGTCCAGCCTCAGCTCCTCCACGGTACGGGATACGGGGGACGGGATGGGCCGGGCTGCCGCGCGGGGGGGTCCTGACGCGGTGCTGCCCCCTCCCCAGCTCAGCAGCAGCCTCGTGAGCCTGTACAGCGAGGGCGAGCTGGGCCGCGTGGCCGTGCGCGGCGGTGTGCAGGTGGCCCTGCGCTACGAGCCGGCTGCCAAGGAGCTGCACGTGCACGTGCTGCGCTGCCGGCAGCTCGCCGAGGCGCGGCGGCAGCGCTCCGACCCGTGAGTGCCCCGCTGGCACCGCTGGCACCCCCGCGCCGCCGCCGCCCTCGGTGCTCCCCGGCTCCCTTTGCACCCCCTGCTCTCCTCTGTCGGCCTCCAGGTACATCAAAACCTACCTGCTCCCGGACAAGTCCAGCCACGGCAAGCGCAAGACCTCGGTGCGCAAGCGCAGCCTGGACCCCGTCTTCAACGAGACCCTCAAGGTTCGCGGCACCCTCCGCAGCGCGCTGGGGTGGTGGGAGCTCCTGGGAGATGATGGTGGGGATGCTCCCCCTGCGGCACCCCTTCACATGGCCCTTGTCCCCTCCTTGGCAGTACAAGCTGGAGAAGACAGATCTGCAGGGCCGGACCCTGAACCTGTCCGTGTGGCACCACGACAGCCTGGGCAGGAACCTCTTCCTGGGCGAGGTGGAGATCGCGCTGGGCGCTTGGGACTGGGCCAACACGCGGCCCGAGTGGTTCGACCTGCAGCCCCGGGTGGGCAGCCCTGTCCCCGCAGCCCTGCAGCCGCTCCTGACCCTCCGTCCCACCCCCCATCACCCTCCTCTTCCTCGGTGCCCACAGACACCCGTCAGCCCCGGTGACCTCGCCAGCCACGGCCACCTCAACCTGGCGCTGAAGTTCATCCCCGCCGGCTCTGAAGGTGAGAGGGCCACAGGGGGGGACACTGCGGGACTGGTGGGATGGGGGACACCCGATGCTGAGGCCACTGCTGCCCCCAGGCGCGGGGCTGCCGCCCACGGGCGAGCTGCACATCTGGGTGAAGGACGCGCGGAGCCTCGCGCCCCTGCGCCGCGGCACCGTGGACGCCTTCGTGCAGTGGTAAGGGGCACAGGGGACGCGGTGACGGCGGTGACACGCGGGGGCACCGGGGGCTGAGGCCGCTGTGCCCGCAGCTACGTGCTGCCCGACGACAGCAAGGCGAGCCGGCAGAAGACGCGCGTGGTGAAGCGGAGCCTCAACCCGCTCTTCAACCACACCATGGTCTACGACGGCTTCCAGGCCAAGGACCTGGCTGAGGCGTGCGCCGAGGTCACCCTGTGGCACCGCGAGGCCTTTGCCAAGCGCCCGCTGGGCGGCATCCGCCTCAGCCTGGGCACGGGTGAGGGCTCGGGGACGAGGGGGCGAGGGCACAGGGCGGCGCGGCGGTGACGCCCGCCGTGTCTCGGCAGGGAGCAGCTACGGGCTGCCCGTGCCCTGGATGGACTCGACGGCGGAGGAGCGCGGCGTGTGGGGCCGCGTGCTGGCGCAGCCGGGGCGCTGGCTGGAGGCGCTGCTGCCGCTGCGCTCCGACCTGGCGCCCCGCGCATAGCCGTGACCGCGACCCTTCTCTCCGCGGGCCTTGCTGCGCAATGAAGTGGCACCCGCGGCACGGCTGCAGGCTCTTTATTCCGCTCTCCGTGCTGGCGCGGGGACGTCCCCTCCGTGGGCACCGCGACATCCCCTCCGTGGGCACCGCGTGCGGACGTGTCTTGGGAGCTGCCAAGCGGTGACTGGCGGTGCTGGTGCTCCAGCAGGTCCCTGGTACTGTGGTGGGTCCTCAGTGCATGCCCAGTGCTCCAGCGGGTCCCAGGTGCTCCGGTGGGTCTCCCGCGGGTCCCCAGCAGGTTCCCCGCAGGTGCCCCGGCTCACTCGGCCTCCTGCTGGCAGGGGCGCTGGCGATGCTCCAGGATGGCTGCCCACAGGCGGCACGCGGGCCCGCGCCTGCGGGGCCAGAGGGGGTGGGCACGGGTTGGGGACCCCCTCGGGGCCCCCCTGGCTTCCCGCGCCGGTACCTGATGCCGGTGTCGAGCAGGTCGTCGCGCGTGGCGCAGCGCAGCAGGGCGCGCAGGGTGAAGCCGTGTCGCTGCAGCTGCAGGGACGGGCAGCGGTGGCAGCTCCGCGGGGCGGCAC